AGCTGGTACACTGATACAAACGGGTTCCTGGAACACACACTTAGCAGGGGAAGCCTGTAGTACAAGGGGCCTCCCCTCCAGAAGAAAATTCCCATTTTGGCAGGAGGGTCCTCCCTCACAGGTGGAACAATAAATTGATCACTCTCTCTCTCAAATCAGTAAGTAAAAATTAAAAAAATATATGTGATCACAAAATACAAAGATAGAAGCAGCATCTTACATTTACCTTAAAAAGTATGTATATATCTAAGCCTTACCAAAAATCATCGGATGAAACAATCTCCTTCTAGAACATATTTAAGTGAAATATAGTATTGTTCTTTTTTGGGAAATCGTAGCTTTCCTAAACTAGTTTTTCCAATGAAACTTGAAAATAAAATTGGTCCCATACATACACCTTTTCACAAATTAGTACACATTGTCAGGGTTTTGTAAATTTTGTTCAAATTGTTTTTCCTTTCCAGATAAAAAGTGCAGCATTTTAACTTTCTTAAAATTATCCAAATGTCTGACTAGATATTCCCACAGTTCAGCCAAATTAAACAGTATACATGGCCCTTTGTGAGGAGGACCCTGTTCACCTAGGCAAGCCCCCGTCTTTTGCACTTCTCATTCTTATGACATTGAACTCTTTGTAGTTCCATGATTAAGTCCTGCTCTGTTATGAAAAACAGTAACTCTGTAAACAAGTTTCCTTCCGCCAGAACATTTTTATCCTTCTATTTAATGACATACCCATCCATCAAGTCTCACTCAGTGTCCTTTGCAAAACCTTCCCTGATTACTCCCAGCATAGCCTGCATCCTGACAGGTCATATTAGACCCTTTTGATATTACTCCCTTGACATTTTGTGCATATTATCATTAAATTGATTATATCTATTTAAATTTTTTTTTTGTTATGTCCATTTAAAGGCAGAAACTGTGATTTTCATGCTGATATCACCCTGGTCCAGAGTAAGCAACTGTTCACATTTGTTAAATACTAGAACTACTGTTCTCAATGGATTAAAAAAAAAAAAAGATCCTTACTAAACAATACAATAAATTTGGTCTTACATACTTTAAATTGTGTAATTGGTCATCTTACTCCATAACAGCAACAAAAATACCACTGTGGTATTTTTTAGAGCAACCAAAACCAAAGAGGAATCAGTACAAGATTTAAAATTAGAAACACAAATCATACTCTATGGCACTCCTCCAAAAACACCTTTTCTGGTATTTATAATGACAGAGAATATCATGAAATTAAGAAATGCTTCTGAAACTTTCCATAGATCATACATAGATTATGACCTTGAACTCAAGCACAGAACAATCAAGAGTTTACCCTCCCTTTATTTCCCTGGATGCCAAACAAAAAATTTAGCAAGCATACTAAATAAAAATAAATCTCGCAGAATTTGTCATCAATAAAACAACAACTGTTGTTACCATGAAATCTAGTATGTCAACCTTCAGTCTACTTAATGCTAAAATTGATCAAGTTTAATACTTTTTCTAGAGTGACATCTAATAATCTGATAAGATGCCATTGTAAGCAAGCATATACATCCCCTAAGTAAGCGGTGTACCCCAAATACTCATGTAAAGTACAAGAAGGAAAAGAAAATATCCCTTTGGCCTATAAAATGATGATAAATAAAATGCAGCTGAATACAACTAAGTTAAAATGCAAAATACGTAGCACTTCTTGGTTATAAGTAGAAATAGAAACCCAACAGCAAGAGAACTCTCCTGGAAGTTAAATGGGAATTATAGAAAGAACATTTTCCAAAAGCAGACCATTTCTTTATGCATTACTTGTTTTCATTTTATGGTTGTCATACTTGTTTTCCTATAATGAAACATTGCTCTGCTCTTCTTATAGTAATCAAAACAATAAAACAAAACTAAAGAAAGAAAATGTGTTCCCCAAGAGTTAAGATTTTAACTATCTTGGGAAGAAACAATTAGAAATACTTTCAAGTACTGAATTTCAGTGAGCTCTAACCAGTGAATAGGAAAAAAATGTATAACTTCATATAAAATAAAATGCATATTTAAAATTGTTGCTTTGATTTGTGGGACAAAGATTTTATATTTCATAGACATGCATATATTTGAGTAACATTCTAAGATGTCAAAAATGGGTCTTGGTGCCTTTCATTATTTGAAGAAATGAAACTTTTGATCATGTTTTAGATTACTTTAACTGATTTTTGAGATCCCTTACTGGAAATTTTTCCAATGACAAAAAATATTTTCCACTGTAATAAATACTATGCATTTGATATTAAGAGAAAAAACATAACATGTCTTGAGTGTATCTTTTAACTATAAATCAATTAAAATTCCACTGCAATTACTACTGCTACCACAGAAATAGTGCCACAGGATGACACGCAGGAACAGGGTTTGTATAGCACAACTCACTGCCATAAAAAAATTCATCCCAAAGAATAACTTACAATGTCATGTACTGGTGAGGTACTAAAATGAAAAGAAAAAAAAAATGAATTCACCCAAAAGAGCATTTACATAAGTTGAAGTGAAACAAAAGACCACTGGCTAGAGGTAACAAAATTCCTTCAGTAATCATGATTAACAAGGGAAATAATAATAGCAGATAGATTAAAAGAAGTCAATGGAAGTAATAATAGAAAATTATGTTATTGTTCCTGTAACTAGTAAGAACAATCATGTCAAAGAAGAAAAGTATTTACAAAAATAAAGACAACAATACTCTATGTCACAGATGACAATACTGGGGCTTGTGTGTTAATGCTTGTCAGCACCCTGACAAATCTGACTGATGGATCTGACTAATGGATCCCTGGAATCTTTGTTGCTAATTTTGGGATCCCTCTGACTACACAACACCGAGAGCCACAACCAATCACTGGAAGTTGGCAGTGAAACCTATTTGTCAAATCTGGTCTCAGTGACATTGTTCAAGATACTCAGTTAGGAACTTTCCCTGAAGGCAAACAGTACATGACTATACACAACCTTCTAGGAAATGTGGTCAAGCATGGGTTGACTTTCAAAAATTTGTGAATGCACTGAAAATTCTTAAAAAGGAAGATGGAAAAATAACATTACAGCAGATAATGTGATGATGTGGTGAGTGGGATAAATTTTAAAAAACTAACTGCCATCACCCTGACCAATGTGGACTGGTTGGGAGTCATCCCACAAAGTTAAAAGTCACCAGTCAGGTGCACGCCTGGGTTGTGGGTTCAAGTCCCTGGTCAGGGCACATGTGAGAAGCAACCTATCAATGTTTCTCTTCTCTCTTTTCCTCCCTTCTCTTCTCTCTAAAAATAAATAAATAAAATATTTTAAAAACAACCTGTCATCTACAAATTAGAAAGGTTTCAACTCTGATGATATAGATATTTAAAAGATATATAGTCCTCCATTTGCAAGAAAAGCAGTCACTACAAAAGCAGCAAAAAACTGAAACAACCACAATGCAACAGAAATTAAAGAATCTTACTGGTAACTGACAAATTAGTAAAACAGTTTCAATAATGTGCACTACAATTTAAAGCCTTAGGTCTAATGTTTTGAAAAAAAATCTGAGAACAAATGGGTAACTAAGATAGAGAATCTAATATCCAAAGTAGCTTTAACATCTGAACCATCAAAATTATAGATTTCCTCTGAAAGGCAAAACCCTTTATTAATACTTTTAACAAAAAGTGTTTTGTCTAATAAAATAATGCAATTTTTGTCATAAATAAAGTGGTTTTTTAAGTCTTTAAAAATGTCTATTATATGTGATCTTACCTCTACAGAAAGTGAAACACAAATACAATGACAGCAGCTTAGTTTTAGGTTTCTTAATTTTCAGAAAAAATAGTTTCCCTATTAAAATATTTTTAAGTGTTTATGCAGTCACTGAACTATATTTGGAACAGAAGCCATAATTTTAGTGTTAGAATAAATCTGAACACTAAGCAAAATGTGTGTGGAGAAAACATTAAGTAAAAAATATCCATTAAAATAAAATAAATGTGTATATCAGGGGAAGGTATAATTACACATACTATATAACCCCACCCAAATGTAAAGTCAAAAGCTGCATAATAAAAAATATCAGAGAGAAATATATCTCAAGCTCTAAAGAAGCTTAAAGTCTACGATAGGTCAATCTGACAAGGAATCTCGCTCCACGTTAAACAGTATTATGTGCTATTTCCAACAAATAAAAGCTTAATCAATTGCCCACTTCATTTTGCTTCTATAGACTCAGCCATATTTAAGACTAACATGAATTCTGCAAGAGATCTTAACTGGTACTAACATTTAGCAATAAAGAACATTTCCAGCTATAAGCAATTACATATAAACATAATCTGTAAAACATTAAGAAGTCACTGGTTGTAATGCAATTAGAGGAAGGTTTCTAAAATTTCCTTGGAAATAACAAGGATGCTAAAATCTTTTACTCTTGGTCAGATTCACTGTCATGAATTGTTGTTTTACTATTATGCCTTCCCATGATTTTATAAGTAATTTCTTTGAAAAACACAAATGAGTAACACATGAAACAATCTTACTTGGCTGTAAAACAGTAGCAGCTTATGTGACTAACTTGTAATACATCTTACCACTATGTTATTCACGATTATAAGAAGGCAAATTTTAATGAGTAGATAAGTCATTGCCTGATTAGGTGTACTTAACCTCAGGGAAAGTAGAAAACAAGTGTTTCTGTGAACGATACAGGGTGGGGCAGAAGTAGGTTTGCAGTTGTGCGTACACAAAACACAGTTTATTCTTGTATTACTATTGATTACTTATGGTATTATTTTCCAGATGGACTTGTAAATTTACTTTTGCCCACCTTGTGTAAACAACTATCAAATAATGCTTTCACACACAATATGAAAACCAAGAAAAAAATAAATGTTTCGTGAAAGAAATTTATTGCTGTGTTGTAATAAATATATAATTTTCTAGAATTCTAGTAATAAAATGGGAAAATGTTTTGAAAATGTTCTCCTTACCTGTGTATACAGTTTTTACTCTCGAGATACGACATACCAGAAGCAGCATCTAATGAAAATTTCACTAATTGTTTGGTTTTTATTTCATCTTTCTTTCTTCTTAGATAGGAAAGGAAATCACCGCCTAGAAGAATTGACAGATGAACAATGAGACAAAATCATGATGAAAGTCACATTCATCACCTATTATAGGTCCCTCACAGAACAAAAAGCACTACATATGTGGCCATGCTTTTTGTCCTGTCTGTTTGAGGAGAGGGTAAAAACATAAGAACACATCTTATTAGAAAATAGACACCATTAACTTTCCTCGGTACAGTTTAAGTACTTTAAGTACTACACACTCTGTATTAATTAGTTAACACATAATATTCAAACAAAGTCACACAATTTCTCACCAATTTGCCTGACTAAAAATTTTTAAGGAAGTTTATTGTCTCTAATGCCAAATAAAAGACTGTAATTATTATGAGTTAAATAAAAAAGGAAATGATATTGAATAACATGATATTCAGTGATTGCTAAAAAAGGAATTGAGATTATTAACAACAGCATCACTGACAGTAGAGCCAGGAAGAGAGGAAAAACGCTATGATTTCGCTAAGCTTTAGCTGCTGAGACAGACTGCATTTCTGTGCATCAGATGGATTCCAGTGATACACAGAAATGCCTTAAACCAGCATGGTCCAAAAAAAGTATAACGCAAGTCACTCAGTAATTTAAATGTACTCACAGTCACATTTTAAAAAGTAACAACAAAAAGGTGAAATTTATTTTAATATATTTTTCTTTAGCCAATAGATACAAAATACTATTTATCAACATAGCATTCTAAAGATTTTAGTAGAGATGTTTTACCTTTTATCATCCTAAGTCTTTACAATGTGTTTACATTTATGGGACATCTCAATTTAGATGCAAATTTTTTATCTGAAATATTTGATCTGTATTTAGATTTCATAAAATTTACAGTTAAAAACAGGTTCATATATAGGTTGTTCCAAATGCTGAAAATTTTCCAATAATTGGATCATGTATACATTTTTAAAACATTTAAAGTTAAATAGAATTCAAAATTCAGTTTTTTAAAGCACACTATCCATATTTCAGAAGCTCATGAACTCAGGAGCTACATATGGCCAGTGATTACCACGTTAAATACTATAACCTTAAACTACGCATTCATTATCAACATAGTATTGAAGGCTATGGTTTATTTTTTTCTTGTTAGTGTATAATGTATTGCATTAAAAGAAGAAGTTTATTCTAAGCGAAATAAGTCAGAAAAAGAACCATATGATTTCACTCGTATGTAGGATATAAAGCTGAAATTTAAAAATTAACAAGATAAACAAGCACAAATTTACTGGCACAAACAACAGTGCTGTGGTTACCAGAGGCAAGGGGCTGGGTGGGAGCAATAAAGGGTAATGTGGTCAAACATATGGTGACAGAAGGTTGGACTTTTGGTGGTAACACATGCGGCAATGTACCAGATGATTATTATAGAATTGTACACATGAAATATAATTTTATTAACCAATGTCACCCCAATAAGTTTAATTAAAAAAATTAAAATATATGAGAATAAAGAGTCCCTAAAAATAATCCTTCTCACTTTCTCTTTTATATTAGGCCTTCAGATTTTAAGCCAGATTTTTGCAAGAAATTAGCCAGATTTTTTTAAGCCAGAAATTAGCATTTTAATCGCCATTTCCTAAACTGTTTTTACCCTCTTCACCATGGCTCTAGGCTTCCTAAAATGGAACAACTCTAGAGGTAAAGACTTAATGGCTTTTTCTTTAATGAGAGTACTTAGAAAATGAGAACCTGACAAATTCTCCTGATAATATTCTTTTTATTCAAAAATCAAGTGTTAGACAACTTTACATAGGCCACTTACAAAATCAATAAGCCTTATGCTTAAAAATTATTTTAACAGCGTCAGTTTCTTTTTTCTTTTTCTTTTTTTTTTTTTAAGGAGAATATCAAATGTATTAAATTACTAGGAAGACTGATAGGAATCTCTTACTAGGAACCTCTTAGAGGACCGGCCCCGGGGGCCCGCCCTTCCCCACAGCGCTGTCTGGGGTTGGAGTGGGGCGATGACGACAAACGCCTCCACGAAAGGTACCCAGAAGACATCTCTCTCGTTCAAAATTGTGTCCCACTTCTGACTAATATCTTCTGGGTCTCGTGAGGAAGGTGTTAAACTAGGGGTTTCAACAAGGCACCAAGATATGACAGAAAGAAACAGAGTTTTAAGGCAAAAAAAAAAAAAAATTCCTGCAGAAACTTCAAAGTGTCGTAGAACAGATTAAACATCTCACCCACATCAGAATTTAAAATTCTCTGGAAAGTGTAGACTGAGGAAGGATTTGGTGAGGATGGCTGTGAAATAGTTTCTATCACGCTTTACTTTCTGAACAAAACACATAGATGCAACAGCAAACCACAGAACTGACCACTAATTTCTCAACTTAAATAGGTAACAAACATGTCTATTGAAATGTACTTAAAATCAATATTTAAAGTTATTACTTGGACCAATATAACTATACAGGTATTAATTCTTTTGTTAGATATATGTTGGCCTATTTTAGAAAAAGTGCACCCTTCTGGTCTTGAAACCACATAGCATTTTGTTTATGCTGTAGAATAACTTTCAAGTGAAAACATCTTTTCTGGAATTTGATTTAAAGCAGCATAGGACAACACCCATGTTCTGTCAAATCCTAATATTTCTTTCTCAAGTGAGCTCATATTCAGCAGCTTCCCACCTGCTTCCTGCTCTTTTTATTTATTTATTTTTTCAGTTACCTTAAGTAGTATTTATTTTTTTAATTTATTTTTTTTCCAAATACATTTGCCTCTGCAGTCCCCCTACCACTTTCCCCTGCCCCCCCCCCCCCAGTCCTTCTCCGCTTTCGCTTTGTCCATGAGTCCTTGCTATATGTTCCTTGACTTGCCTCTTCCCTTCCTTTTCCCCCACCCACCCCACCCACCCCACCCTCCTTCGTTCTTGTCTCTGTTGGTTTCTTTTTTCTTTCAGTGTTGCTGGTCTTATTCTCCTTGCATCTTTGTTTTCTTGGTTAGGTTCCCCTTATAGGTGAGATCATATGGTATTTGTCTTTCGCCCCCTGGCTTATTTCGCTTAGCATAATGCTCTCCAGTACCATCCATGCTGTCGCAAAGTTTAGTAGTTCTTTTTTTTTTTTCTTTCTGCTGTGTAGTATTCCATTGTGTAAATGTACCATAGCTTTTTGATTCAATCATCTACTGATGGGCATTTAGGTTGCTTCCAACACTTGGCTATTGTAAATTGTGTTGCTATGAACATTGGGGTGCAGAGGTTCTTTTGAATTGGCTTTTTGGGGTTCTTAGGGTATAATCCCAGCAGGGGAATCCCTGGATCAAAAGGCAGTTCCATTTTCAGCTTTCTGAGGAAATTCCACACTGCTTTCCACAGTGGCTGCACCAGTCTGCATTCCCACCAACAGTGGACTAGGGTTCCCTTTTCTCCACAGCCTCGCCAGCACCTGTTGTTTGTGGATCTGTTTATGATGGCCATTCTGACTGGTGTGAGATGGTATCTCATTGTGGTTTTGATCTGCATTTCTCTGATGGCTAATGATGCTGAGCATCCTTTCAAATATCTCTGGGCCCTCTGTATCTCCTCCTTGGAAAAGTGTCTGCCCAGGTCCTCTGCCCATTTTTTGATTGGATCGTTTGTCTCCTTGGAGTGGAGTAGTATGAGTTCTTCATATATTTTGGAGATCAAACCTCTGTCTGATGTATCATTAGCAAATATGTTTTCCCATACGGTTGGCTCCTTTTTCATTTTGCTGATGTTTTCCTTAGCCATGCAGAAGCTTCTTATTTTGATGAGGTCCCACTTGTTTATTCTTTCCTTTATGTCCCTTGCTTTAGGAGACATATCAGTGAAAAAATTGCTGCGTGGCATATCTGAGCATTTCCTGCCAATGTTCTGCTTCCTGCCCTTTTTAAATCCACTCCTTCCTACAGCCCTCCTTGCACTCCCCAAGCTCTGCCACAGACTGTAACTCCAGTGAGGAAGATTGTGCCTCTGTTGTTCAATATTGTAATTTTCAGCACCTACACATAATTAGGAATTCCAATTCCAGGTAAGAATCCTGGTGTACAAAAAGAACAAAACAAGATCACTTCCCCTTTGTAACTCTGTATTAACAAGGCTTTTTTTTTCTGTATGAGTAGACTGCATATTAAACTAAGATAGGATGGATTATTTTCTAGCATTCTTCACCAGTGATGAGTTTCTGAGACAATACTTGATATATTTTTGTCGCCAACTTTGGTGTATGAGGGAGAGCAAGGCCTGGGGAAAAAGAGCATGGACATTGAAATCAGACTGCCCTAGCCTGACTGGTTATGTCAACTTGGGCAAATTTTTTAATCTTTCTAAACTTCTTTAAAGCAAAAATTAATTCCATTAGTTTCTCAAGATGGCTTTGAAGGCTTAATGTATCTAAAGAACCATGCATGTACCTAGCACATAATACACACAATAAACACTCCTACAACTCATTGTTGAAGTTGTCTGTTATACAAAATGAGGAAGAGCTGCAGTAGGGACTGGTTGTTTGTCATACACCTATTTTCCCTCCATTTCAATTTCTCTTAGGAGACTGCCCTTCTCCCATTTGAGAGTATTAACCTCACCCTCAACAATAAGGGTGGTTCTAGATTGGCTGAATCAACGAAATCCACTCCCTGTGCAAATGACTGGTTTGAGGACAGGCACACGACTTCATTCAGGCCAGTGACATACTACAAGGAGGTACTTAAGAGGTGAAAGAAATTTTTTTTGAGTGAAGTACCAAGAAATAAGCATACTCTGCAACTGAAAGTGTGTAAGACAGCATGCCATACCACAGAGACTGGTAGCCTTCAACTGAAGCTGTCACCATGGAAAGCAGAAAGAAGTGAAGGAAAGAATAGTTTTGGTGATATGCTGGAGCCACTGGATCAAACATGGCCTCAAGGGTGACTTCCCTCTAGATTTTTCAGTTAAGTGAAATAATGAAATCCCTGTAATTCTTTATCTATCTTCTGTACTGGCAACTCAAAGATCCTTAATGGATA